CATAATAAATTCATTAGAAACTTGCTCTGTGAAAACTGATAGGTAAGGTTGCCACAAAACCAAGTGGTAGTGGGTAAAAGGTTTGGGAGGGCAGATATAAGGATCAGAGACTTCCTCGAGATACATGACTTGGACTTTAAAGAACAGATATTAATTCAATAGTTGAAAAGATGGAGGAAGGGAATTTTACACAAAGAGAACACTGGACACAGATATGTAGGCAGTAAATTACGGTACATGTTCAGAGGCCAAAGGCTATTTCAAATTTAACATGTCCCAAATGGAATATATTGACTTCTTCCTATACCTTTGCTCTCCCATATCATGACCCTGTGTTTCACTGTTCCTCAGTATACATGGTTTCCTCTTGTAGTACTTTATGTTTCTTTGCATGAGACAGGCAATAAGCATTTATTAAGCACTTACTATATGCAGGTCAAGTGCTATGTACTGGGGATATAAATACAAGCAAAAAAAAAGACATGTCCTGTGTTCAAGGAGTTATGGAGGAAAATAACACACAGGGAGGTTTAGGGGGAAGGAGAAAGTAGCAGCATGATGCCAAAGTCTGGGGAAGCAAAAGCACAGCCAGGAAGACAATGATGCATGGCTGGCCTGGTCCATTCCCAAAATGTAGGCCCCCGAAGGAACTCACCAATGAAAGAAGAGAGACATATGGTAGAGGGAGGGAATGTCCCAGGGCGAGAAGGCATATGAAGCATGATGTACAGTCCATAGAATTAGAAGCACATCTGGGAAGGGAAAAAGGATCATGGTTCTCTGCCCTACTGTCCTTGGCAATATGGTTTTCACTGCTACACAGGCATCCACCTTTAACTTCGTCTCTTCCTTGCTCCATTGCTATCATGGAGTCTTTTCCTCTCTTTTAGGCTGTTTCACAGGGGGGTACACATACAGCACTTTTCAGCACAGACATCTCTCGCTAGGTCCTTATGTGGTTTGGGATCTCCAACACCAGCTCTTTTCTTTGTTTCTATCAGAAACTTTCTCCAAGGTTTCTGATAAGGGCTTACCCCAACTCCTTCAGGTAACTGATCAATATAGTGTATGAACACTAGCAAGAGGGACCATAATCTTCTAAGGAAGGATAATCCTCAATATTTCTCTCTGTACATGCATGCCTACAAACATAGATCAGTTTATACTATTTGTGTAAACCAGGAAGTAACTCTGTTCAAGAAATTAAGAGGGATACAAAGATGGGCAGGATATAGTATTTATTGAGTGTCTACTATGTGCCTAACACAACATACTACATATTCAACTAGTGCCCATAAGCAAGTTTTTGTGAGGAGAAAGGGAAAGAGGAAGAGGAAATCAAGACAGCAAACAAGCCACAAACATGATCATTGAGCCTCAGGGAAAACTTTGACACATTTATTTAAAAAAAAATCATCTCTTAGAAAATAAAAATTTCTATGTACAATTTTCCACCTCATATTCATTTGAAAAATTTTAAGTATGGACATTAAAAAATAACATATTATCTTGAAATTATGTAGTTCTTTTTTCAAGTAGATGAATGTGTCTTTCCTCATATATGTAATCTATGGTTATATATTTTTATATACTCATACATACCTACACAAATATAGAATGCTACATAAGGATTTATAACATAGAGAGAATATATTAAATATATGGATGTATGGATACATATGTGTAGTCATACAAATATAGAACAGAATCTATATCCATTTTACAGAAGGGACAACTGCAGCACATATTTAGGTATCATTTCTACATTTATTCATCTAAGTAAATGGTAAGGCAAAGATAGAGACCTGGTCTCCAACATTGTACTTATTCACCTAGACAATAATAATACTTACATTTTTTCCCCATTTGAATATACTAGTTCTGTTTTCTGATCAGGGAAACCAGCATCATGATTGGAGATGTTCTTTCAGAATTTACAATGAATTTATTTATGGGACAATTCTTTTGTTAAAAAAAATACATATATATTTATATAAATGAATTTAGTTTTTCTTCAAAAGTTTAGTGGCTGAATTTATCACACTTGATATCATGAGGTAGTGACTATCCTTGGCTGTTCTTCACTTGTTTAGCAATCACGTCAGAGTCTTTGTGACCCCATTTGAGGTTTTCTTGGCAAAGATACTGGAGTAGTTTGCCATTTCCTTCTCCAACTCATGCTAGTAAGTGTCTGAGGCCAAATTTGAACTCAGGAAGATGAGTCTTCCTGACCCAGGCCTGGCACTTTATCCACTGTATCACCTATCTGGCTAGTTTTTCTCAAAACTATTCAGCTTAAAAGTTGATATAAATTGAGATTCTAAATAATACTGGCAAATCTGAGGTATTATATCTTTTGGTGGCTTTACCCCTTTCGTGGATATCAGTGCCCTAAAAGGAAGCCTCCTGTTTCTCTTACAGCTGTCAAATTAGGCCAAAGGACTGAATCTACAGTGTTGTAATTTCAAGTACAGTGGCACCTGGTTGGAGGAGAGCAGGGGCCTTCTCAGTGCACTTGTGCTGCCTACTCATCAAGCCAGTCCTGGTTTTCCTTTGTATTTCAATAAATAACCATAGATTTCATGTGACATTGTAATCAACTCACTTCCTTTCCTCTCACCTCGTATCTCATTTGAGTTTAAATCCTTCAGGGCTATTGTAAAGCCAGCTCTCTCTTCTGGCTGTTCACACTTCACCCAGTCTCTCATATATAATTTTTTTTAATTTTCAGTAGAGTGACAGTTTTCATGTGGAATTATATAATTATTCTCCACTTGGGTTAAGAAACTGTTTCACCCTTATACCAAAACATATCTGTCTTCTTCTTTTAATCTCAGCTAGTGTTTGCTGAAGTCTGGCAACCTTACCATTCAGATTCACGTGTTGTTGTAATGTATCATAATTAAAGGCACATGGCATGTTCTCCACCTCCTCCTCCCTCCATTTCCCTTTCTATGTGCCCGAGGGTTAACTAAAGTCACAGCGCAAAGAGGCAGAAGAAAAGCACAGCTGACTATTTTGACATCCACTGTTTCACAGTGACATCCTCTGAGAATTATCTTAACTTCCACTTTACAGTGACTAATTGAATTATTTCATTATACTGCATGTTTTAGTAGTGGTAGGTTAGAGGTCACCTTGTTGCTAAAAACTGAGTGTGACTTTCCCCCTCTGATCACTTGCTCATTCCAGCTTTTTGTTAAGACAGAACAAAACCCATAGAGCTGAGCTCAGAATCTCAGTATTTGCCTGACATTTCTTTCTTCCACTCTTACTTCCTTCATTTTTCTTCAGTGCTCTGAAAAACTGCCCTTCAAAATGGGAAACTCTCTAGAAAATATGTAACATTAAAAGCCCTATAGACTGTTAAATCAAAATCTGATAGATGATCCATACCCAGTGTGTTTCCCATAGATAGTACCGAACAGTATTCATTGACCCAGGGACTATTATATCATGTTGATGGAATGTGCTTTTGGATATAGCCGCTTTCTATCTTAAGAGCTGCATTTACTACAAAAAGACATCTGTTCAGCTAGTGGCCTTGGTACTGTTGAACTCAACTCAATACTATCCAACCCTCCCACCCAAAAGAAACTTTTAGCATATCAAGTAGCTGAAAATTCCAATTTCAAAAAAATCTTTTTAGGTTGACTATATTTTAAATTGGTTAATCTATTTTAACACTGACAATTCTAGATCAATCACGTTGAGTTAAACTACTTTCTACTTTCAGTTTTACTACTGCATAAGAAGCTTATTTGGAACTGTTAAAAATTTCTACTGCATCCTAAGTAAATATCAATGATGAATAGGACATAATGCCATTGTTTTAAAATGTCTTTATTCAGCAATTGTGTAGTTATTATAATGTTATGAGTTTTCTTAAAGAAAACTCAACCGATGTATTAGGGATTCAATGTATTCTCATTTGTTCTTACTGGGGATTTTGGTTGGATTTTTTACATGCAAAATAAATTATCTTAGGAGATTTCTCATAGGAGATTTCCATTTGTGAGTGTCTTTTCTAATTGCACAGGTGTAAAACATATTGTATACAGTTCACATGCACAGACTATGTATAGATATTCTTCAGAAAATGGAGTTAACCATCAGAAAAAGAAAAAAAAATCACCCCAAATTGCATGAGACTCAATTCACATCTTAGAATTATAATGGAAACCTACCATCCTTTGAACAAGACAGAGGAGATAAGAGAAAGATTTAAATTAACCATTGAAGGCTTCTACTGTCCTTAAAATAAACCACTTTCCTGATCTGATATAGTACCATGTTCAACATAAATAAATTTAAGATCTAACATTTTTCTTACCAAAAAAATTAAAAGGATAGCTTGTAGTGGCATGTTCTACATGAATGCAAATCATAATCTGTATGCTTTTAAATGACTTGAAGTCTTTACAGATCTAATTTTTGTATATTTGTGTCTCAAACAATTCGCCAATTCAATATTTTGGCTTAGCAGTCCAAATCAAATTGTGGTCCAAGTACTAGGCATTCACATTTGATGTACAGAGACTTGACAAGCAATTAGCAATGAATATTTAAGCATCTTCATTACCCTTGCATGAAGAATGCAGATGGCATTTAGGGAGATGGCAACAGAGGGCACTACTGTGAATTATGTTTCTATTATTTAGTCACCTGACTATTGGAGGACTCTCTTTGGGCCCAATGCCACATCTATACTTCAACAGTCTGGCTGGAAATGAAGCAGACATTTGAAATGTCAAAAAGCAGGTTGCTTCCATGAGATTTCTATGCGCATTTTGTGATTTGGGAAGTTTGGATCCAACGAGCCAAACGTTTGTATCCTTAGTCATACCAAACATAAATTCCAAACCTCCATAAAAGTTTGTACAACCTGAAATTCCTTAAGAAATCACCTGGATCATTCTCCCCATCTGATAGATTGCCTAATTATTTTGCCTCTGAATATTTCTCATGACTACATATATCTTATCATTATTGTTTTTCAGGACAAAACAACACTAGAGAGCCTGACTCAGCAACTAGCAGTGAAACAGAATGAAGAAGGAAAATTCAGCCATGCCATGATGGATTTCAATATGAGTGGAGATTCTGATGGTTGGTGAAAATTATTTGTTCCCAGTAATGTGCAGTGGGGTCTACTTATTGCAATCAAATGCAAGTGCTTTTTTTTTTTTTAAACAGCAAGGATCATCTCATTCCTACATTCCTTATTTCTTGTATCTACAACACATTTTCCAGAGTTTTATATCCATGGCTTATGTTTATGCCTTATAAATGTCTTATACCTTATACATTTCTTTTACCCAGAATAAGGCCTGACCAGGATACATTTCCAATTATAAAAATGACAAGTCAAAACCAAACAAATATGATGTAATAGAAGGAGTATTAGACTGGAAGTCAGGAGATCTGATTTCTAGTACCAACTGTACTGTTAACTTACTATATATATGATCTTAGGCAAACTGTTTCACCTTTCTGAGCCAGTTTCCTCTTCTGTAAAATAAGGACATTAGACTCAATGTCTTCTAACTAATGTACCCACCAGCTCTAAGAGTCTATCAGTCTATAAATGAAAGAGGGTCATACAAATGAATTTTCGCTGTATTAACACATCGTCTGCTACAAACACACACTAAGTAAAAGCTGTCAGTCACCAAAATTTATCTTAAGGAATTTCTCTTGCTTCCTAATTTTGAATACCCTATTTGTATTTTAACACCATCCTATACTTTGAGCAACCACCATCTTCTCGTTCCTTTATCAAAGCTGTCACAGCAGCTACCTAGGTTCATGTTCCCCATAACCCATGTTGAAACTCCCCTATCCTGTATCTTCTACCAAGCTCTATCCAAGGTGACAAGTACTCAGATCAGAAACACTCATGAGCTAAGGAAGAAGTCAATTCCTCTTATCCTGCACTTCTAACTAGGAATCTATCTCCTGTACCATGCAATATATGTACACTTTAGCTGTCTTTCTAGAGACATTACCTCTGTCTATATTGTCTGCCCTAGAGTGAAAATTTAGAATAATAGAAAGACCAGGCAGCAAAGAAGCTAGCAACATGGCAAGCCAGCGAGGAAGATATTTTAAGTCAGACAAGACTTTGCAGCAGACCTCAGATCATGCTTGCTGGTCACCTGTTTTGCTTTTGTCTATTCCTGCTCTAAAAGCAAATTTATACTAATTAAAAATAGAACTTAAGTAATTTTTTGGCTGATTGAGGCAAAAAAAAAGTTTTACTTAACTGGTTGTTTCATACATAATATATGTTTTGGGCTTGAATTCATCCATATAATTGGCTCATTTTTTAAAAACTACATTTGGCTAATGCAAACCTGGCTCAAGTATCCACTTTTATGGATTTGATGAAACACAGCTAATATTATCTTCTATTTTTATGTGGCTATAGAGGTATAAAAACAAGTAAAAGAAGATGTGCATATAATATTTTTCCAGTAAGAGGCCTTTCTAGGTTCATGGGGTTAAATTCCAAGGGTCAGAAAAATGATTAGGCTTTCTAGCCCGTTCCCCAACTTTACTCTAAGAGAATAGTTAGGTGGTAAATGTGACCTCTGTGCCATTAGAAGGTGAAAACAAAACCCAATGCACAATTAATGTATATTCCAGTAGAGTTTGTTGAAGGATATTTTATAACTTACCAGCTTTCAAGTTGAAAGTGGGTGCAGGGAATGAGAAAGCTATGGGGCATGCTTTTCAATACCTACCTAGTTTCTTAATTTTCACCAGCCTTCCACACACCAATATAAGCACCAGCATCCATGTAAGGGTCACAAGTCCTCAGCAACAATAAAGGATTGAGGATATATTGTTCTTATAGAGAGAAAAATCTCCACTTGTGATATAGATCTCAACAGATCATGCCTCATGATTAACCTTGAAGGTTTAGGGTACTAACTAGTCAAACCGCATGTGGTTGAGTTCATGTGTAATGTTTAGTGAGTTCATTTGACTTTGGCACACATTTAAGATATTTTTTGACCTCAGATATAGGGGTTTGCTGTTAGGACAGAAACCTACAATAGGCAGCTTCTTATAATTAGCCTGAGAATGAGAAAACATTCCATGACCTTGGGAGGCAGCTATGATATTGGGGTGGGCAATTTGACCAGTTACTACTAAATTAAGTGGATGAATAATCTTGGAAGAAATTATTGGTGTCTTAGAATGGCTTGGAGGGGAGCAGGGGATGGAGGAGATAGGGGCATGATTCAAGCCTTTTTTCAAAGGTTACAAGGAAAAAAAACTCACATTTTTAGCATATAAAAAGGATACTTAACAAAAGGAATATTCCAAAATGTAGTTGCACTTTCAGTTTCAACATATTGTCAGTAATGATGATGATTATAATTATAGATTGATCCATCACTTAACCTTACTTCTCTAAGAAGAAATTAATAAATCAATAGCACTGTGAGGTATGACAACACACACACACACACACACACACAGGCCACCAAGACAAAAGCCATTTTTAAAAGATGAACTTATTTTTATTACTAAAAAGAAGATTGATTATTTTTAACGTATTTTGTAAATTTTAAATTCTATAATGACTCTGAGATCTGCCTCAATGGCCACCAATTTTAAAACATCAAAAAGATTTGTTTTCTCTTAAAAAAACATTCAGGCATGTTTATATGCCCTCAAACGTTCATGAAGTCAGAGATCACATCATGAATATAAACCAGCTGTACATAAAAGATGAAAAAATCCTATTTGGCTTAGGTCTATGTTGATAGCTATGGATCCTTTAACCTCAAAAATTCTTATCTCTAGATGTGTTGCTACAATGATCTTCTGGTCTCAGTGAATTGCAGTTGTTTCTTTTGGGAAAATGCAAAGAAATGCAAGGAGTTAATTTATGATTAACCAAAACCAAAGTATTAGAAACTACCAAACTTCACTCTGTTATTCTCATAGACCAGGGAAGTGGCAGATCTGATGCATCTGCCGTAAATGTAGCCTTTGAGAACCAGTTGCATGGTATTTTATACTATTCTGGTTTTCATTCTTTATCTGAGATGGGCATCCATGGAATCTCTATTAACTTATATGAGGCCATTAGTGTAATGAGACAGTAACTTAATGAGTATTAATATTCGGTACCTAAAGGAGTTAATATGACTTCCAAAGGTACCTAACACTGTAAGACTGTGACTTAACGCTGGTAAAATCTAGCTTATTGAATCTCCACCAACTAAGTTACTCTAAAGAAATGCTTATTTTATACAATTTCTTTGGATTAATTCAGCTGATAGGAGGGAAAACTACTGAAGTGAATAGTTTTATATATTTTGAAGCTATGGTTATGTATTTTGCATATATAACAACATGTTAATGCATTTGCTCTTTTCCCTATCACTTTCAGATGTCTATTTCACTTTATAGTCTATCATTACTGTGCCATTTTGTGCATTTACAAGCATGCTATTTCAAATAAATAAATGAGATTCAAACACACACTGGAGATGTGTGTTTGTCACTTATTAGCTAAGACCTCTTGCATTTTGTTTTCAAATTTTCATCTAATGATAACTATATTTTTAAAGAACCCATGCCTAGAAACAAGTTTTATGTACTCTTAGGTACATAGCAACCTTTTAAGTTCCCCTATAATTTCCACTTCCATAATTATGTTTCAGTCAAAACTGACTAGATTTGTATTTTTCATGCTAGAAGAAAAGGACTTTTAACTTCTTCATTATTTCTGCTGCACTAATTATGGTTTGCTGACCCCAGTCCAAAGGTACTACATCCAACTCAGAGAGGAAATCATACAACAGACTACTGTTGTGTGACTATAAAAGTAAATGAGGGAACAACACAAAGTTCATTAAAGTAGAACATGTTATAATATGACGCAAAACATAAATATACTGTTTATTAACAATAGACATGATTAAAACCTATCCCCAAAACCTGAAATATTTTTAATAGAGAAAGGATTCATACTTAAAAAGATCTCAAAAGTCACAGAAGAGAGTTCCCAAAACGTGAACATAACCTGGAATAATTTTCATTGCGTATGTGTATGTGGTTTTGTTTGTTTCTTTTAGGAAGTGCTGGGGTCTCAGAGTCTAGAATTTATCGGGAATCCAGAGGGCGTGGGAGCAACGAACCTCACATCAAGCGTCCCATGAATGCTTTCATGGTATGGGCTAAAGATGAACGGAGGAAAATCCTTCAAGCCTTTCCTGACATGCACAATTCCAACATCAGCAAGATACTAGGTAAGAGCTAGATTAGTAATAGCTAAAAGAAGCATACTTTTAATTTGCAGTTTTTCTAGTTTGTAAAAAGATTTGTAGGCCAGAATAATTCAGTTATCTGCTAATGTAAAGAGTATGCATAAATACTGGCTTTTTTTCTGTGATAATATACTTTATACTAAAATTTGAGCAGTGAAAAGAAAATTGCTTCCATAATTAATTTGGTTCTTGTTCTCCACCAATTCCAGTGATGAATGTATATATGTATGTAGATATACAAACATGTATATCTACATAGATTATATGTATATATAAACCACACTATTATTTATTTCTAGCTTTGAGCATATTTGGAGAATTATTAAAAAAAAAAACAACACCTTTTCGGCTTTTGCAGCTTTCAGTGTAACATGGAAACAACATAAACAAAAGCTACATTCACACATAGGTATACAGGAAGAAATAAAAAATCCACCATTTTTTAAGAAAGCTGCTTAAGTTAATGTCACAGTTTAAGTCCCAGGAAAACAAGAGAGAAGTCTGTCGATTTCCTTCCTTCTTCTTGCCTCCATGCCCTCTTGTTCTATCATTACCATCACTGTCATAATAAAATATTCATCATGAACAAGTTAAACAAATATATTTCGGTATTCTAAGAGCTCGTCATGAAAACAGAAAATAATCATTATACTATACCCATAAATTACTATTTAGAAAATAAATAACAAATGATTCATTTTTCTCAAGGCTGCAAATAAGTATTATTACTTAGTATATAAAGAGAGGTTTCTTACAGAGCCTTCTGACTGAGGAAGGAATCTGATGCCAGTATAGTTGCCATTAAATATCAATTGTTAATTCATGTTCTTAAATAAGGTTCCATGCAACAGACATTGAACAAATGTTTTTGCCCTCTGTGAGTTTATAATCTCTGTCTCTTCATCTAAGTTTGGGTGTTTACATGTGTATGTAAAATATTTTGAAGTCTTTTACAAATTCTTCTTTCCATATAAAAAATTCTGGCTCATTTAAAAAAAGATTTATGAAAGAAAAAATGAAATTAATAGAAACACACATAAATTAATACTTTATAAATATATATGTGTATATTTACATACACATATATGTGTGTATACATGTATACACACATATATGGCCCATTTCCAAGTTTTTTATTCATAGTATGTTTTTTAATTAAAATAGCTTTTTGTTGACTTAGAAATTGTAAATAATGGAGGGTATATAGGGCTAGAGAAAACCAAATATCCCAATTTTTTTTAAAAGGAAGAGAATAGATTATGCTAACTACAGACCAATGAACTTGATTTCAATTACTGCCAAAAGTCTAGAACATATTATTAATGTTAGGGGATTAACATCTAGTATAGAAAATTAAATGAGGATCACAAAGAGCCAGCATGGCTTCATCAAGAACAATTCATTGCATTCTAATTCCGTTTCATTTTTTTTAATAGTTACTAGATTGAAGGTAAGGTGACTGTAAAAATAACTTATTTTAATTTTAGCATAGCATTTGACAAAATCTCTCATTCTTTTCATGTGAAAAATATGCTGAGATATGGGGTAGAAAATATACATATATATGGATTCATAATTAGTTGAATGACCGGAGCCAAAAAGTACTCATTAATGTTTTAATGTCAGCTAGGAAAGAGGCAGAGAATGGAGGACCCTCTAGGGATTCACAGATGACCCTCTGTTGCTTGGATAAAGGAATAGATGGAATGCTTACCAAGTCTGCAGTCAACATAAAGCTGGGAAGGGGTAACTAAGATAATGCATAACAGAGTAATTATCAAAAAAAAAATCCTTTAAAGTTTATAAGGACAAATGTACAGTCTCACACCTTGGTTCATAAAACCAACTTCCCAAGTACCACAAGAGGAAACATCAAGATAATGGTTTGTTTGAGAGTTTAGTAGGCTACAGGATCAATGAGTCAACAATGCCTTATGGAAGTTAAAGAGAGGCATAGTTTCAAGGCTTAAGGAGGTCCCTAAGATCACTGTATTATTCTCTGATCAGAACATATCTGAAATATTACCTTCATTTTTGGGGCACCAAATTGTAGGAAGGGCTGTTAAATTGTAAAGCATCCACAAGTAAGCAGTCAAGATTGCAAAGCACCTTAGAGTCATAGTACATGAGGATGAGATCATTTCAGGATGCTATCCTCAAGAATAGGAGACTTTGTTATGAGGTTGAATGATAAATGTTTTCCAGTATTTGAAGGGCAATGATATTGAACAGGAGTTCTACTTACTGTGCTTGGCTCAGGACAAAATTAGAGAAATGCATGGAAGGTTTAAAGAGGCAAATTTAAGCTTGCTTTAAGGAAAAACTTCGTAACAACCAGAGATTTCTTATCAAATGATGATGGTCTCTCTCTCATTGAAGGGTTTCCAGCAAAGGCTGGATGGATAATCATTTATTAGTTGTGTTACAGAGGGGATTCCTTATTCAAGTATAGGTTGCACTTGGTGACATCTAAGATTGTATGATAATTAGAATAAAGGGTACTACAGTACTAATGAAACAAAATGATATTTGTGAAACATTTCAAAATCCCTAAATGAAACAACAAAGATAACACTCTTTTTTTTTTTTTTGAAAAAGGGCATACTATAATTACAGTAGTATGGTTTAGTCATGTCAGGTACCCTTTCATAGAATAAGAAAAGGATATTGCCTAAATTTAGTGGTTTTTGAGGGTTAGAAAGATACCATTTATACAGAAAGCAGATTAACTAAGGGACTGTAGAGAGGGGATGGCCACAATATTTACTCCTAAATAAATAAGTCATCTATTGAAATATACAAGATTATTCTGAGTGAGGGGCCCATTTCATACAGAAAGTACAAAGAGAGCTTGATTGTTTTGGATAACAACCTCCGACAGCACGCTGCTAATTCATTCTGCTTAAAACAGGCGCTTGAGCTGGGTTGACATTTTACGTGGTCTCTGGGGATCCTAGTTGACATTTTAAAGGGCTTCTAAGCATTTTATAATACCCTAAAATCTGGTTTTAATAAGCCATTCTGCTGAAATTGTTAACATAAGGAATCACCTTTTACTGTTTGGCGCTAGATCAGGGGATACGGGGACATCTTTTTTTGATTAGATATACAGTAGTTGGAGTAAAATGTGCAAATTCATTACAGACCCCATAGAGGTGACAGACAGTGTAGTTCAGTCCAAGTTCTTCCTTGTTTTGTTGGCAGCTTTAGAAGGAGAGGGGAGCTCTTAAAGACAATGTGAAATGTTTCCTTTATTTTGAACATCAAATATTATTTTCTGGTTTGAACCTTCTTCCTTTGCAATCAAGAGAAATACCCGAATGTCCTCCTTGACAAACATATTTCAAAGGTCTCCTTTTGATTGCAAAAGACCAATCTTTTGAAATCAGCAGGTCCCTCTTAACTGGCCCAGGGTGAGTAACTAGAGACTCCCAGATCAAGTAGGCATTTTCATCTCTTTGTGAGGTATCTAAAATGGTTTTTTTCACCATCCATTCTTGGTTTGTTTGGAGGGAATTGTACCACAGCTTTGTGCAGGGGTCACAGGAATTTTGTTTCCACTGAAAATAGCTGGGAATGGGTCAATATTTTTCAAGGGATATTTAGAAAATATGAAGTATAACGTGACAAAAAAAACAGAAATGTGACATCTAGCAAAATATATACAGTTAGCAGAAATTTACCCCCTTGTATGTAATTATGAAAATGTCTACATTTATTTCATAGTTATATTTAAAGTACTTTAGGACTAGTCAGACCTGTAAAAATTTCCTGGAATCATTTGCTGGCACCAAGGCATGTTGCCAGTGTGGTTGGTTACCAAACTGGATCCTAGAACGCGAAAGGGGTGACAAAGGTTGTACTTGTCATTATCAAGTAATTTTGTTATTTTGTTCTCCTATGTTTTCCTTATGTGCAAATTACATCTAAATGAATAGCAACATGCTTCCTGGGGTATTTCAAAGGTGCCTGGCATTGTTTGCATCATTTCATAGATTGCCTGATGGCTAGACAATAAACATTTAGAAATTTCCCAAGTACAGTATGGTATTTAAAATCACCAGCAATCATACTGGTGCTATCATTTTCCATGTATGAGAGAAAGAATGACTTCCTTCCTCTTTGGGAAGCTTTAATGCCAAGGTATATAATTGCCATCTTTTACCCCCAAAGGCCCAACCCTTCTTTTATGTTTGTCACTTCCTGAATATACTAGTAATCTTTAATCAGCATTTGCAAAAGTAGTAAATTTCATTGTAAAAATGCCTAGTGACTCACTCTTGAAGCCAAGAATCGTATGCAATGGATATACAAAGACTACTGGAGTAGGAGCCCGAAGAAAGGTTCTTCTTCGAACTACTATTGAATAGTCTTGTTTCCTCAGGAAAGTCACAGTTTCTCAAAGCCTGTTTCATCATTTGTAAAATGGTCATTATAAGACCTTCCCTGTCCAACTCACAAGCTCATTATGAGGATCTAATGAAATTTGGTAGAAATAATAACCAATAGGTTATGATTACAAATCTATATAATTATTATGTTTCAGTATAGCATGCTTTTCCTTATGTGTACTTTACTCTGTCTTAATTAGTTATGTTGCCTTTAGTTATTGGAATAATACTCTCTCAAGTTTTCAGTCATATAGTGTTCTACGTGGATGCTACACTGAAATAATATATTTGCGAAGACTCTTTTTATGGATTTTTCTGCAAATACATACCATCAAAGTAATCAAATAAGTTCAGGGTATGATGTAAATGATACGCAAAAATTTGGTTAGAATGATTTGGCTTGTTGTATGCACAGACTAAGGAAATCTACTCTGATATGAAAACATCTATGAAAATATCTACTTTCCAGTTATTCAGTGTTAAATACATCAAAAGATGACTTTTTGTATTTGATATCTATCATAAAAATAATATTGAAATACCTCCACAAGGATAATCAACCTTTTTATTTTTATAAGTATTGGGCTTCTG